GGCACCACCTCAGCCAGCGGGGCCTCGGTGATGCTCCACGGGATGGGGCACCCTGCGACCTGTACCGTATATGTGAGTGGGGGACGATGGGCGCGCACTAAGGCAAACTGAGCCGCGGTGGCTGGGTCCCAGGCGGTGTGGTAGACCTCACAGTCCCATTTAACGGACGGGCCCGTGAGAGTCTTGGCGAGCTGGGTCAGCGTGGCGTGGCGTGCCGCAATGCCAGTGATGCGGTAGCGCGTCTTGGCGAGGGTGGCCTCGCAGCCGCGGATGCTGACGGCAGCAGCCTTGGCGGCGTCTGACCCCCGTGAAACACGGATCCCCAATAAGCCCGACTTGCCGTGCCTGACGACTCCCAGGGCCTTGAAATCCACCGACTTCTGGAACGCATCTGCCATCGTGATGGGCTGGTCCTCAGGGAACCACACGGTCTGATACTTGTCTGCAGTGGGCCCGTCTGCACCTACGTTGCTGAGGTCGTAGGTGGCACCGAGTTGCCCTGATCCCGCCAAGACCTTGTCGACCGCTTGAAGACTGACGCCGAAGGTGGCAGCCAGGGACCTCTTTCCGACGCCCGATCCAAACCTGCTTAGGCTTTTGCAGGGTTCGAGGATGGTGACGGCTTTAAAGTTGCCGTGGAAGAGGGCCTTGAAGGTGTCCTGGAGCTGACTATCGAGCTCCTGGCGGCGAGCGTCTTTCTTGGACTCCCTGTGCTTTTGGTTTTGGCGCGCCTTGTCCTGTGGAGCGGAGTCCCCTCGGAAAGGACCCTTGGCGCGTGGACCACCGTTCACGGGGGCACCTCCCGAGAACTGGTCCTCGAAGGCCTGATGCATGGAGGGGACTGCGGCAATGGCCTCGGTTTCATGTATGGTCGCCCGAATCCAGCATACGTGGTCGGCAGGGTCGATGGTGGCGACGGCTACTTTTTCCGTGCAGGCGACTTCCTTGGTGCCCAGCTGGTACACGGTCACGGGGACGTGCGTGTGGACCACTTTGGGCGCCTTGGGGTGACGCTTCAGCACGGGGACGGCGAGCTCGGTACCGACGTAGTTGTCGTTTTTTGGGCCCATGACAGCAATCGCGAGCTGACCCGTGGTTCGCTTACCCTGCTCGAGGTGGTGTTGCAGCAGCCGTTCACCGCTCTCGTAGTCGTGGAGGCTGATACTGGGCTTGTACGTCTTGCCGTCGTCAGGAGATGTGGGTTCGGCGAGGACAGGGACCTTCCAAAAGGCCGGGTCCAAGGCGATGAATTGGGTGTCCGCAGCCTGAAGACGTGCGGACCCAGCTGGTGGGTGTGATGTGTCACCGCCAATGCGCTTAGGCTTGCTGCGCTGGTGGTGATCAAGCGTGTAGCTGATCTGGTTGGCGGCGCACATGCGGATCAAGGCGCTGCCAAGCTTCTTCGTGTTGGTCTTGTGCATGTCGTACGTTGCCTGGAGCTCGTCCGCGTTCAGTTCGGCAAGCCCGTTGTATGCGGCCGTGGGGCGATCAGACCCCGCTTGCTTGAACGCTGCGATGCAGTCCTGCTTGCGTTGGAGGAGAGACCCTTCAGCAGCAGGACGTGAACTCGGGGGCTGCTTGGAAGAGCGACGGCGCTCTGGCTTACTGGGGGCCATTGCTGCGGGCGCTCTGGTGGGGGGGGAGGTGGCGCGAATCAGTAGGGTCCTGCTGGGACCCCTCCGGTCTCGCGAGGCCTGGGAGTCTGACTCCGAGGCGGGGCGCTTCGCGTCGCGGCTGCGGTCTGAGTGCTGGGCACTCTCGAGCCGAGACTAGAGAGAGAGAGAGAGAGAGAGAGAGAGAGAGAGAGAGAGAGAGAGCGCGTGTGTGTGTGTGTGCGTGTGTGCGTCTGTCTCTGTGTGTGTGTGTGCGCGCGTGCGTGGGTGCATGCATGTGTGCGCGCGTGTGTTTGTTCTCTTCCTCTCTCTCTCTCTCTCTCTCTCTCCCTCTCTCTCTCTCTCTCTTTCTCTCTCTCTCTCTCTCTCCCTCTCTCTATCTCTCTTTCGCTCTCCCTCTCTTCCTTTTTTTTGTGTTTTATTTTTGTTTTCTCTCTCTCTCTCTCTCTTTCTCTCTCTCTTTTTTTTTTCTCTCTCTCTCTCTCTCTCTCTCTCTCTCTTTTATATATATATGTATGTGTTTGTTCTCTCTCTCTCTCTCTCTCTTTTGGTTTCTCTCTCTCTTTCTCTTTCTCTCTCTTGCTCCTTCTCTCTTTCTATTTGTTTTTTCTCCCTCGCACAATTTCCATATTTACCACTCCAGCACGAGGTACCTTGATTTGACACCTGACCGTCAGCAGGTCCCCAGGCGCCCCTGGGGGCCCCCAAGACGCCGTGGAACACCTTGGGGTGTTTGAGGGTCGACGGGGAATCTGGCCCATGTTAGCCAGATCGTTCGATCGCGTCGCCCGCCTCATCCTCATCTTGTCTCCGTCTCCCCCCGCGTCCTCTTCCTCTACTTTCTCGTCGTCCTCATCCGTCCCCTCCACCTCTCCTTCCGTCTTGTCCAAGGGGAAAACAGGGCTCTGTTACGTCTGGCAATGGGCTTCGGGACACGACGGGGCAATTTCAATCTCGGCCGTGCCCGGGCAGCCCTCCAACGTATGCTGTTTGTTCCCCAGATGGGATAACACATCGGCAGAATGTTCGAAGGTCGGTGCGCATTTCTTGGATCTGCGTTGGAATTCCTGACGGCGCCTCCAGCGCCGCCCTTGGCGTGCTCCAAGCGCCAACAGAGGGGGCTCCAGCGCCGATCCAACACATCCGCCGTATTTCCAGAAGTCTACGCCGATGTTTCTTCCATCAGCGGGCGTTTTCCCCGTGAACTTCTTCGCGGCGGATGGCGAGAAACGTCTTCGAGGCGCGAGAAGCGAACTGGACGGCGTGGCGGAAACTGCATCATATCTCATAATATTGTACTGATAGGGGGTGGCGGGGCGCATTTGGCGAATCGTTAGCGGATGACCGGAAGCGCGCTTAGATTCGAAGGGTCGCGCGATGGACGGAAAGTAATTATCAAGTTGGGGTGTCCAGGGGGGGATTCCTCACAATAGCGGTTTCGCCGGGGACATCCTCACAAAAAAACGCATTTCCGCGACATCGCGTCTAACAAAAACAAGCGCTTTGTTTGAGACACCCTCTTAAAGCCAATGGCCACGAAATTCATTCATTTGTAGACAGTTGCGTTTCGCCTGACATATCCTCACAAAAATGAGGTGTCAACGGAGGTGTTTGACAGCCGCTGGCGGTGATAACGGCGCTTTCGCTACGGACGTCTCCAGGAAATGCCCGGCAACACGGCGGACCAGAAAAAGAGCACGGCTGAATATTTGCATTTCGCTGGGGACATATTCGAAACAATGATGTGTTTTCAACATCGCCTTGACATCGTTTTTGAAGTGTTTCAAGAGGAAAAATGAGAGCCCCAAAAGGACCTCTATATGATTCCAACAGCGCCTGATGACTGCCGAAATTGACGATTCCACGAAGGACACCCTCGAACAATTAACACATGCAACAGCATCGTTTTGAAAACTGCTGTTCTAACATCGTCTTGGGGTCGCTCTTGGCAAAAACTTCCAGACAACCCAAGCCAGGCTTCTGGAAATGACGATTTCGTCGCCAGGGACATCATCAAAAAAATGCGCGTGTGACATCACATTGACACGTTTTCGATGGCATCGGCGCAGCCCCAAACAAACCCCAAACGAGGCTCAATATGACCCAGGAGCGCCCTCGATATTTCTCAAAGTTAGCATTTCGCTCGGGACATCCTCACCAACATGAGTTGTTCGCAACACCGTCTTTTCACCAAACTAAGGATGGCGCTTGAGACGCCCACCATAAATGGAAACTCCTGTTCAACAAACAAACGCATGAAAATAGGGATCTCGCATGAGACATCCTCGAAGACACGAGATGCTGAAATGGTTGGTTTAAGACCATACGTGTTGAAACAGAGCTTTTCGCTTGGGACGTCTTCAGACAATGGGCAGGATCACGGCAGAACGCAGAAGCACGGCTGAACCCGCGAGAGCACGGGATAACACACAGGAGCACGGCAGAACACACAGGAGCACGTCAGACCACGCGGGTGCACAGCAGAACACACAGCACACCTCCGTAGCCATTTTGGCTCAAGGCCATGGAGAACCCGACGACCGCGAGTCGTTCGCGGCGCTCTGAGCGCGAGGGTCTCCGCGCTTTGGGCCAGTGCACTGCGAGTTTGTGATTCCTGCTTTCGCGGCGTGAAGGCGCGGCCCCTCGGCCAGCTCTGCAGTGGCCGTGGCGAGGCCCCCACGCGGCGGCGGCAGCAGCAGGCGCGGCAAGTCCTACTGGATGTGCAGCTGCGGAGGATGGAACTGGGACTGGCGCGCCTCATGCCTTGGCTGTGGGCATGCGGCTCCGCCCTGGGCGCTGGGAATGTCCCCCGCCAAGGCGGGGCCCAAGGCAAACAAGGACGGATGGGTGGAGCAGCCACGTGGGCGCCGTGCCCAGAGGCAGGCCCGCAGTGCGGCCTCGCGGGGGGCCTCCGCCAAGTCGCAGACCTCGGCGTCGGCAGCGAGTGGGGCGCCCAGCGGTGGAGGCGCCGCGGCGATCGAGGGGCTCCAGGCGGCCGTCGAGCAGCTCGAGGCGCTGCAGGCCGAGCCGCCTGGCGGCGCGGAGAAGCGCGCCGAGCTGGTCAGGGCCCAGGAGGCGGCAGCAGAGCAGAAGGCCTCCTCCCTGCCACGGGCAGCGCAGCTCCACAGGGAGGCGAACGCCATCAGCAAGGGTGAGAAGCGGCTCCGCGCAGCCCGCCAGGAGCTCGAGCAGAAGCAGGCGGCGCGTGGCCTCGTCGAGGCCCAGCTCCAGAAGGCCCAGGAGGAGGTTGTGGAGCTCGACGCGGAGGTTGAGGAGGCGAGCCGTGCGCTCCAGGTGCTCGAGGAGGCAGCCCGCGAGGAGGCCGAGGCGCTGCGCCGCCAGCGCGCTGCCGAGTGGGCATGAGCCAGCCAGGTGCCAGGGCTCCGCATGCAGCTGGAGAAGTTGCCCGAGGCCTGGGGCCCCAGCAACTTCGAGGTGGCCCGGGCAGCCATCCGCGCCCAGATGGAGGCTGTGCGGGCGCAGCTCGCGGGGGCCCTTGTTCTGATTTCGAGGATGTTCATGTCGTACATATCGTGAGGGGTCTGCTCGAGTCTCCCGTCCCTGCAGCCTATTTGGCTCGGCAGCGGGCGGGTGGGTTTCATATTGCGGGCGGAGTGCCGCCCCAGGGCGGCGCGGGTTGGCGCGCCGCCGTGGTTGATTGCGAAAAGGGTTCGCTTCGTGTTGTTGCATTTTACTCCGTGACTTACGTCACCTCCGACGGCGACGTGAAGGGCTCCAGGGTGCCCTTGAATTCAGTTTGGTAGCGAGAACATAGTTACGACCACGGTCTACATTGTGGCGATCGCGATCGACGACCACAATGTCAAGTGGTGCGACTGCGACTGGAGGAGCTGCTGGCGGCTCAGCAGCACTCCGATTGGACGCCCCATCATGGGGCGGAGAGCCCGACAAGCTGCTGGCGTACAAGTTCGACGTCGGGCTCTTCAGAAGAGCTATAAGATGCAGGACAGGTACGTGGTGGGACCCCAGCTGGTGAGAGCGCTGGGGGCAAGGACACGCAGACTGGCACAGGCGTGCCCCGACATCGACAAGATCGACGAGGTCACCGACGAGGGCAAGCTGACAGGATGGCAACGCGTCTTCGACTTCCTCTTGTCGAAGCTCGACCTGTCCAACGTGAATGAGACGGGGAACTCAGCGGATAAGTTCTTCAACGAGCTCCAGCGGGAGCCGGGTGAGGGCTTCCCCGACTGGACGGCGCGCTGGGAGGCGCACGAGCGCGACCTCTTGTCGCAGCTGAAGGCGGTGGACAGCTCGGTCGAGGAGGTCATCGCAGCGCCTCTGAGGACGTGGTGGTACCTCCGCCGCTCGCGCCTGAGCCCTGTGGCAAGGGGCGAGATCACCGCTACGGCGGGCGGCGGCTACGACTTCGGCGGGACGCACAAGCCGCTGTGCACGAGGTACCCGCGGGAAGCGCTGAAGGAGATCGACGGGGTCCGCGAGAAGAAGGGCAGGCGCGCGGGGTTCTTCGGCGAGGCCGAGGAGGCCGAGCAGGAGGACCACGACTTCGAGGACAGGTCCGAGATCGCGGACATCGTGGACCAGCTGGTGAACTTAGCGGACGAGGAGGACTCGACCCTCTTCGAAGAGTTCGAGCTTGTCGACGACTACGAGGACGGCATCTACGCGGAGTTCAGGCAGCTGGGCAGGCACTTCAAGGACGCGAGGGACCTCATCAGGAAGCTCAAGGTGGCGAGGGAATACTACCCTGTGCTCGCTCCTCGACCTGCGGAGGGACCCCCTCGTCCTCGACAACTACGTGATGGCCAACGCCCTTCTCGTCAAGATGGTCAACGATCTTCTCGTCAGGACGGTGGTCAAGAACCTGCGCGTGACAGGCGTAGGATAAGATGTCTAGCTTGCCGCAAGTTCGGACACCAGGCGAAGGACTGCCCCGAGAGGACGAAGGACCGCGGCAAGCCACAGTACAACGAGATGACCTCGTTTGCGCTTCTCGAGCTCGGCGACCTGGTGCTCCTCTTGGACGACGTGGGCGGCGTCTGGGCGATCCTCGATTGCGGCGCCACGAGGAGCCTCATCGGTGTGACGATGGCCGAGCACCTCATCTACGACATGGAGGAGAAGCACAGCCTGCTGCTCGACGTGGTGGAGCGGACGCGTTACTTCACTTTCGACGGCGGCAGGCGCAAGAGCTCGATGGGCACCATGACGGGTGCCATCTTTCTCGGCGACGGCCATGAGAAGATCGAGATCTCGATCATGGACAACGAGGTGCCACTGCTGATCGGCATGGACGTGCTGGGACCTGATCATACCAACGCCCTCATCGACTGCGGCAACGGCTACCTGATGCTGCCGAAGATCTCACATCACGTCTTCCAGTGCCGGAAGATGCCCAGTGGTCACCTCGCCATCAACGTGACGACTCCGACGCGGTGGCAGAACATCCCCCAGAGCTTCCCGAACATCGTCGGGATCACACAGTGCAGCGCCCTGGAGGACGAGGCTAAGACGTCCGCGGTCGCGGACGAGGCGGCGCTGGCGCTGGCGCCCGCGGCTGGCGCGGGGGCCTCGAGCTAGGGGCAGCACCCCCTGGTGGATCCGAGAAAAGTTCTTTCCTCTAGTCCATCGGGGGGGCCCAAGAAGACTCCAAAAAAAAGCTTCACAACCTCGAGGGATCCTCAGACTTCCCGAAGTTCGAAGACGCTGACAGGGGTCAGGATGTCCTAGCTGCACCCCCTGGGCCTGCTCATACACCCCCAAGCCTCTCGAGATCTCCTACAGCATTTCCTACGAGGGCATCTTGGGGACCATCTTCGGGGACCAAGAGTTCGAGAGCAACGATCAGAGAAACCGAGACATCTCCAAGAGCGCAGACTAGTACGAGCACGAAACTCCCGACACGACAATCTGAGCCTCCTCCCGATCCTGATGATTTTGATGCGCACCGAGCTCACTCGGCTCGAAAGGGTGTTCAATCAGGAGGAGATCCTCAATATTCATCTACGCTTACATATCCAGCGGATGTCATGCCGCCGCGGCACCATCTCGTCGCCTTCGGGCGTGCCACCTCCGCCATCCCCTACTGCGGAGCGTCCGCGAGATCGCAGAACGACTCCTTTGACGTCAAAGCTGCCGACAACAGCTGAGGCGAGTGCGTCGACGTCAGCTCAGATCCAGTCCGAGGCCAGGGTCATCCAAGGCGAGTTCGCCTCTGTACCCCCAAAGGATGTGACCACAAATGCTGCTGGATCGAATCCGGCCGCCACCCTCGTCCCGGGCGGCCAAATCCAAGGCGCCGGGATTCCAGAGGTGCGGCTGCTGCGGCCAACCAGGTCGCAAGCGGAACGGGCGTTCGTACACGGGAGGCCAGACCCACAAGTGTCGGCTGGAGGAGGCCGGGTACCCGTCGCTGAACTTCGCGCAGAACTACCGTCCACCTCGTCGGAAGAACGACCAGCCACAAGCAGGCCTCCCCGAGTGCATGATTCCCAGGCCGTCGAGCCCAGAGGTCGGTTGGCTGTGCAGGTCCGAGGTGATCTACATGAGGTGGAGGCGGATGCTGTCCAAGGTCCTGAAGAGACTGGCGAACGACCCGCCCTCGGAATCCCTCGAGATGCTGGACGACTCACCCGAGAAGGAGATGGCCAGCAAGAGAGGGCGCGAGCGTCCCTGACCAGCGAGGACCTGGACATCATGCAGAAGGTTATCGACCAGTACGATCTGGACTACACGAAGGAGATCGGCGACGACGTCAACTTCCTGTCCCGCAACGGCCGCTACGACTTGCTCGAGGTCTGCACGCCTCCGAAGTCTCGTCTCTCCCAGGCGGTGATCGACCTAGGTGGGGCCGCCTTCCGAGCTGGGGTACACAACGGGTTCGACATGGCGACGAAGACTGGAGTACGACGGCTTGCTCTGTGGATCTGTGGATTCGTCAACATCGGCCTCGACGCATCGTCATGAGTCCTCCGTGCACCGCGGACTGCCAACCCCAGAACTGGAACCAGAAGATCCCAGAGGACCGCGAACGTCTACGTAAAAAGGTGCAACATGCTCGTCGGATACAAGCTGGGTGCGAGACCATCATGTCGGTCGGGCTCCAATTCCGTGGGACCGAGATCGACTTGGAGCAGCCGCAGAGATCTCATAGCTGGGGGCGTTCGGAGGCACTGAAGCGCATAAGGGAGCAGACCTACGAGACGCTGGTGGCTGGCTGTGCTTAACGGCCTCCGCTGCCCCCGCAGCGGCCTCCTCTTGCCCAAGGTCTGGAGGATCTGCTCTACCGACCCCGAGCTTCAGAAGGCCATCGGCAAGCGCTGCAGTAATCGCCCTGGTCGGCATGACAACCACGAGCATGGTGAGATCATCGGGGGGGAGGTGGTAGCGGCCACAGCGTTATACCCCGAGGCGTTGTGCAAGGCCTGGGCGAAGCACATTTTGCGTGCCTGAGGTGGTACTACAGCTAGAACCTCAGCCCTCTTGGCGACGGGCCAGGACACTGACGACGGCATCTTCGAGGGCATCGACGAAGACGGCGACCAGGAGATGGAGGACCAGCAGGCGTCAGACGAGGAGCTCGACGAGGATGACCTCAGGGAGCTCTCCAAGGACGGCGGCACGCTGAGCACCAAGGAGGCCCAGGAGATAGAGCACCGCCTCAGCCGACTTCATCGTAATCTGGGTCACCCCAGCGTCCGCACCATGTTCAAGATTCTCAAGAACTCGGGCGCGAGCATCCAGGTTCTGAAGATGGTCAAGAAGTTTAAGTGCCATGCCTGCGACTCCTCGGTGCTGCCGAAGGCCGTTAGAACAACTGCTGGCATCGACATTCCCGAGGTCTTCGAGGTGATGGGGAGTGACGGCCTCGAGTGGACCGACCCTGTTGACGACGCGACCTACCTGTTCACGCTGAATTTTGACGAGGGTTTTGGATTCACGCAGATCTTCAACCACGGCGACAAGTCCCAGAGGTCCGGCAACCGATCAGCAGCGGACTTCCTCGAGACCTGGAGATCCTGGACGAATCACTACCGCGCTTCTCGCCTCATTCGCTGCGACGCTGAGGGCTGCCATCGAGCGGAACTTACCAAAAGTTGGTGCAGTACGCGCGGGATCGAGATGTTCATCGCTCCTGGCGAGGCGCACTGCCTAATGGGCAAGGTTGAGCGCAGGACCCAGCTGTTCAAGCGGACTCTCACGAAGTTCAGGAAACAGAATCACGACTGCGACATCGACGAGGCCATCAGCCAGGTCACGCATGCGATCAACGATCTTGACAAGGTCGGGAACCATTCGCCCTTCGTACATGTCTTTGGTACTGGAGGCCATCGGGGCTCGGGCAACCCCTTTGCCATCGTGGACGACAGCAACGGAGAGTCCCGGGAGCAGAGGCGACTTCTGGCACGTCAGAGCTTCATCGAGGTAGAGTACTCAGAGCGACGCCGACATGCAGAACATGCCCGCAGCCGCGTGACGACTCGCTGGAACACCGGCGAGCACTGCTACTACTGGCGGAAGGGCCGTGGTCTTGTCAAGGGAACATGGTATGGTCCAGCGCGCGTCTTAGTTCAAGAACCACGGGTACTTGCAGGCTCTACACGCCCAACTTCAGTCGTGTGGATCTCGCACGGCGGTGTTCTACTTCGGCGTGCTCTTGAGCAACTGCGTCCAGCTACGGAGGCCGAGCGAATGGTCGTGGAGCTCAACAACATGGAGGGACGCGGGGCTACCATGTCCGACTTGATGGAGGTCGCCCGCCGCGGAACGTCCGAGGACCTCGCCAACGAGAGCCGACCACACATCCAGAACTTCGAACCGCAGGCGATCCAGCCGTCCGAGTCACCCGAGGACCATGACGATCAGATGGACGAAGAAGCTGCTGAACCTGATCCCTCGGGCGAACGTTCTGAACCAGCAGGCGAGCCGACGCCACCTGAATCGTCTCCGCCTTCCCCTTCAAGTATCTCCTCCATCGAGCAGCCTGTCTCGAAGCAGTCTCGGTTAAGTCCACCGTCCAGAGCGAGCTCGGCCCCACCTGCTGAACTACCTCATCGGCGCTGGCGCATGTCCTCCAAGGGCGACGAGACCACCTACCGACAGTCACCTGCTGAACGACGACAGGACCGACCTGGGCCCTACTCTCAGGGCAAGCCAACAGTCGAGGATAACGATGAGGAGCTCTTCTCTCGGATCACCTTCGACGGGAACCGGGACGGCACCGACTTCGAGCTTATCGACGAGAACATGACGGTCTACTTCGAGATGGTCAAGTCCGAACTTGCGGGCAGCCAGGGCGGACGTCGTCTCATTTCTCAGATGCTGGACTGCTTCGTTGCCAACCAGAAGAGGAAGGATAATATCGAGTTTCACTGGGGAAAGCTTTCCCCCCTCCGAGAAGGCTGATTTCCGCAAGGCCATGACGAAGGAGGTCGCCAACTGGAAGCAGTACAAAGGTCTCCGTCGTGTACCCGCTTCCGAGGTAAAGGGCCCTGCGGACGTGATCAGGTGCCGCTGGGTGCTGACGCGCAAGAGCGATGGGACCGCGAAGGCGCACCTCGTCCTCCTCGGCTACCAGACCAAGGACATCGGACAGGAGCCGACAGCTTCACCAACGGCCTCGCGCCGCGCTCGGAATCTACTCCTCACGGTCGCGGCCGCCAACTCCTGGACCATCGTCAAGGGCGACGTGACCAGCGCGTTCCTGCAGGCGAACGACCTGAAGAAGGACCTCTTCGTGGAAGCCGACGAGGCGCTATTTGTTGAGTTTGGCGCTCAACCTGGTCAAGTGCTACGCGTGGTGAAGCCGGGCTACGGCATCGGCGAGGCTCCTCGCAAATGGTGGCAGACGGTGAAGCAGGACTTCGCCAAGCTGGGATTGCAGGCGTGCGATCTCGAGCCATGCCTGTGGAGCCTACGCTGTCCTGAGACCAAGGCGCTGCTGGGGCTCATCATGTGCCACGTTGATGACTTCATCCTCTGCGGTGACCGAGAACATCCTGCATGGCGGAAGGCGCTGAAGAGAATCAAGGACCTCTACACGTGGGGCACCTGGGAGGACATGGGCGACGGGATCGACTCCATCGAGCAGTGCGGCGTGACGATCGCGAAGAACGAGAAGGGTTTCTTCCAGCACCAGCAGGGCTACATCGACAAGCTGAAGGAGATCTTTCCGAAGTACCCGAAGGCCAAGAGCGGCGACCGATTGACCGAGGCGGACCAGAGTACTTTGAGAACTTGGTGTGGAGCTCTCTCTTGGCTTGGTGTCTATGCACTTCCCTGGGTTTCAGCATGGGTTGCAGATGTTCAAAGCAAGATGCCCAATGGTGACTACAAGCTCTTTTCGATAGCGAACAACATCACCAAGATGGTCAAAGCCAATCGGACTGACGGCATTCAGATCTTTTGCCACCAACTGCCAGGATGCGGACGAGGTGGTTCCGATTTCCGTATCTACACCTGGTGCGACGCTGCTTGGGCCAGCCGACCAGATGGACATTCCCAGATGGACATTCCCAAGGAGGTCACGTTACAGCTCTCAGTTCGGCGGAAGGACCGTTTCAGGAGGCATGCGACTTCAC